AACTTTGTATTTTTATAATTTTTAATTATTCTTTATTTTTTTATGTTTAAAACAGATATATCATTATGTCTCAGCATAATAGAAGTTTGTTACTTTTAATTTTTAGTTTTGTTAAAGTATTAAATAAAAGAATAGAAATTTTATAATTCATGGAAATTTTCTCAATTCATCTATATAACAAATCGAAAATAATTTCGTAAAAAATTACTTGAATCAATTAACAAACAAGAATTTTACAAAATAATATGTATAAGAATATGTTATAACATTATAACAGTATGTATTAATATACTGTAATATATACTGTCATAAATTTTTCTTTCTTATTTCCTCTAGAAATTAATAGAAAAACAAATTTTGATACATATGAAGCATTCGATAAAAAGCATACGACAACAGAAAACAAAGCATCAACTATTATTAACGAGATTAATTTCAATGAAATGAAACAAGTAAGTTGAATAAAATTTATTAATTATAATTTATATTTTATGTAAACATGCAATATACTGCATATACTATTAAGATAATCTTTTACGTAATCATTGAAATTGTTTATTTTGTAGATACGTGAGAATACTATTGATGGTACTAATTCAATGTTTCTAATAAATCACACAATGAATAGAAAGCCAAAGTTTGCCAGATCGACAAAAATTATAGTTTCAACAAGCAACGATAAAACAATGGCGGGTGATTTCTCTGATACATCCTTTTTTTCACATGAATCTAGTGCAGTTGAAAACATCAATTATTTTATTCTGCGTAACAATTCTTTAATGAGTTATGGTGATTTTCAAATTTTACCAAATGCAACTAGTATCAAGGTATTCAATGAAAAAATATACACTTGTTAAAGAACAAAAATGTTTATAAATTTACTTTTCTCATTATTTTGGTGGCAATCATAGAAAGTAATAAGAATGTATTACTGTTACTAATATAACATAATATAAATAAGATTTTTATTACACAGCAACAGCAGAAAATTCAAGCGCGATCGTCGGAAGTTGCATCATTAAATGAAGATACTGAAGATGCAAAGATGAAATCATCCATGAGTGAGATTGTACCGATGCAAATGACAAATAGCGATCAAAGTCAAAAACTTTCAACGCAATTCGCTAAAATTAACGACGATCCTTTTGAAAGAAGAAAAATACTACTAGAAGTCAATGCCAACAGTAAACTAATTGCAGTACCAGGCACAACTCATAGAGTTGTCTTTGATGCAACGAACAGTTGTATCCTGCCAGTTAGATATGCAATTCGAGCTAGAAGTTCACCACTTAGAATTGTAAATATGCAGCCATCATATTAGTAAGTAAATCAATTAATAAAAATTTTAAAAAAATTAAAGATTACTTTTTGAAAACTTTGAAACAAAATTGTATAAATTGATACGACAAACCTAATACAGTATAATATTAACAATAAACAATTATTTTTACTATTGATTATAAATAATACTAGTTTTGAATCTTACTCAGC